TTACTTAATAGAGGATAAAACCCAAGTCCTGAAGTATGACCTGCAGGTAAAAAAGCCCATCTGCAGCACTCAGACTTACCACATTGGGAGCCTAACATTAACAACCCCAGGAAAATTTCTCATGTAACTTTCAGCTAACAGATCACAATCACGTTGCCTATAGTAGAGCTTTTTGGATGTGGGAGGGAATGTTGCCTTGATTTTCTGGGTTCTGTGATTATGAAAGCTAAGAAATTGTTTACCTTAAACCATTCTAACAATCACCCCCCCATCACCCCGCCCCCTGCAATCCATTGCTTTCAGCCAAAAAAATGCAATGTTTTTGCAACCAGCAAAATAAATGGAATTAAATGGGAATAACCAGGGCAGAATTTGGAGGTGATCAAGTGTCCCTCTGAGTCGGTGGAAGGGTGCAGAGCTGCTGCCCCTCTCTTCTCCCCGCCATGTCTTGCATCCCCTCAGCCTACTAAAAAGCTGATTTTTTTAATTGAGACTCAGAAGGAGGCAAGAAAGGAAGAAAATCTGACTGTGACAATACTACTTGTAAGTGCTTTCAGGATTCATGCAAATACAAAAACAAACATGAAGGAGCTTAATTCGGGCATTGGCATAAGGATTGCAAGAATTCACGCCGTGAATATGAGCTTTAGTCCCAAGAAGAAAAAAAGGAAAAAAGAGTATACACTCTTCTCCTCTCCTTGGTGCAAATTGAATTACTGCATAGAAATTGGGAAGCTTTGAATTTGCCCTTCCAGCACACCTGAAGGCACATGAGTCATAGCACCAGCTATTTAATTTTTTCTTTTTTTTTGCCACACTATCTTGGTGGTTCAAAATTTCTTTTCTGATTGTTGTTCCACTGCATTTCAATACCAAAGGGGGAATGCTTTCTCCCTGGGGTATGTCCCACATCAGAATGCTGCCACATGCCCTGCATTTGACCTTTGATTTTTTTGTTGTTAAAAAGAGGAAAGAGTTTGTTTTTTAAAGGAACAAAAATTAATTGTTTTCTCAGAAATGCTTTTATGATGATAGGACAGCTGTGGGAGAAACAAAAAAGAGAATTTATGTTTAAGCAAAGGACAGGGAAAGGTCAGAAAGCAATCTGCAGGACTGCAGAAACACTGCAGCTATTCCTCAGAGCAATTTCTTTGAGCAATGAAAGAAGTAAAGCCAATTGCATATGCCTCAAATACAAAACAAAAATAAAGTTAAAATAGGTGTCAGACTGCATTTTTGCACTTCTTTTTGTCCTTGTAAAAAAATAGTGTAATTTCCAGGCCACTACAACATCAATCATGGTGTGATGTGCTACTAATAAGGCTGGAGACAATGCAATTTCTTGTCAGTCATCAGTCAGTGGCTTTAAGGATGGATTTTATCAGCAAAAGAATCCACAACATATGGACCTGCTTTTATTGTGAGGTGTTTATTACTCATGAGACATTGTAGGCTGATTGCCTTATATTAATGATGGTTTTTTCCTTTAATTTTACCCATCACTCGTGCTAGCAGTTTCAGTATGTAACCAAACCCAAAAAGTTTACCATGGGCTAGTGATTTGAATATCAACATAAAACTTTCGGATAACAAAAGTTTCCTGTGGGAAATTAAAATCAATGAGAAGAGAAGTCTATGTTATACTGAAAGGTGTTATATTTTGCCACCTTTCACTCCAGATGAGTGGCATATTTTTCTGGTAATATCTAAGATTGGCTTGAATGTGATGACTTAAAATGTCAGGCATTACTGATTATCAAATCAACAGCTCTCCTGGGCTTGGAAAATTTACTCAGAGGAGTAAAATTATGAAACCTAGTCCTGGTTTATCCTGCAGAGCACTAACCTTGTTATTTCTTGGCAGCTGTGAATGTCAATTCCCAGTTAAGATAACAAAGGAAAATATTCTTGCTTGCCTCATATTAGACTCACCCAGCATAGTAGCAACAAGTAGCATACAGTGGTGGAGGTTAGAAAAGCGCAAGTAGTATTCAACTATGCCCTTACTATAAGGAATGAAAAATGTTGAAAACAGATAATGTAGTATTTGAAAACATGTTCACAGACATTTCAGTGCTTTTGCAGAAGGGAAAGTGTCAAAGTGTTAACAAAAAAAATGAATTGAAATAGGCAAATTATGATAATTTCATCCAAATAAATTAAAATATAATTTAAGTAACATTTTTATTTTACAGGAATAAATTTTCAAATTTTTATAAATTTTAAAAATATTTTTAAAACTAAAACATACTTGGCTGTTTTGACAGTATTTATTTTGAAGTTGTTATATATGTTTGCCCTTTGTATTTAGAAAATATATTCATTCTTTTCTCCTGGATGACAAGGACAAGGTACAGGAGCTACTATTAAAAAGAAAACGCAGGATCCCCTCCTTTTACAAGCCTAGGAAGTCTGACAACATGCATAAGTAGTTCCAATACTTTACTTGATTTAAAAGGCTCAATGCAAATTAAATTTACAATGCAAAAAGTAATGGGCTTGAATGAATTGTTGTAAGATCTCATTTTCAGTATTGTTTGTTAAAGAGATTTTACAATTATTTTGATGATAGGATGCCCCAAACACTGTCTATTTTGTGTAATTTATCCTCTAGCTTTTTCCCCAGTGCCCCATTGTTCTTTCTACAGAGAAGCCCTGTGACACACTAAATCATAGTTGGGGATATTCTAGATGAGTACATCAGTTTTCAGCAGTAAAAGAGAGGAAATTGGTAATTTGCATTTTGTACCTAAGACCTTAAGGATTTAGACAGCTATTTTTAGTCTGGAATAGATTTGATATTTAAAGCAGAGATCTGATGTCGTGTTTAAATGGTACAACACAGTATGGTACAGAGATCCCCATGCTGTCATGAGTACCTTTGAATGAGTCAGTGCTGCCCAGCAGCAGTAGCTTACAGCAAGTTTTGCTGCGTGTCCAAAGCATCACTGTCAGAGCTCGGGGCCTTTGGTTGGACTGGGAGAAGCAGATAAGGAAAATAGTATGCTATAGTATAATATTACTTCTGTTGCTATGACAGTGCTTACAGAGCAGCCAAAACCAGGGTTTGTCTGTGCTAGGTGCTCAATTATTCCCCTAGTGGTATGTTTTTATTCTGCTAGCTCCATATCCAGGAAAAATAAAACACTGCAGCTTAGAGCTAGTTTAGGCAGAAGTTTGGGGTTTAGCTATCCATAAGAGAAACAGAAACCCCACAGATAAAGGTCAGTGTGATGAGTTTTGGCAATACACAAAAAACCTAAAAAGTGAATTCAGATTATGGCATGGCAGTTATTCTCCTATTTTTCTCCCTTTTTTTTTAATTTTTTTGGTCAATATGTGTGATCTGTAAGAGGCTGACCCAGTTCCAACCTGAATGGGTCTCCTCTACCATAACTGCATTAGTGAACAGAAATACTAAATAAGCATTACCATTATTCATGATAAACCATTTGCTAAATTAATCAAAATCACTGTAGTCGCATTTCAGGAAATGCTGTATGTACAGTCCTGAATGTGATGGACGTGTTTTATAATTGGTCTTTGAAGTAACACAGGATAGTGAAACTTGATGAAATTCCTGCATGCAAGCACAGTGGAAACCATTACCTAGAGAAGCAGCTGCTTCCCTTCTGCTGCACTAAAACCACAATATATTTATTGGAATTTATAAAATCATCTTGCTAGAGATACATCAGAGTGTCTGGAGATGTGAAAACAATCCCTTAGCTTTTGGAAGAGGGAGGTCCAGTCTGTGAGCAACACCAGCAATAGACAAAGCTTTGCTATGATAAAATGAAAGGAAGGTGGATATACATGGATATGAATGAAGGTGGCTGAAATGTGTGCAGAGAAAATACAGTCCATAACCTGGCATCAGGTAAAAAGATTGCCTATTTCTGTTATAAACTTGGTTTCCTCTAAGTGGGGCTAAAAGGGAGCATGGCATGGATATTTAAAAAATAATTCTCAGATTTTGACTTGGGGAAAAAAAAGAGATGTTAAGAAAGAGTTGTGAACCAGAACATCAAATGACAGGCTCTGTCCCCTACTGCCAAGTCAGCTTCATGAAGGGACTTTGGTATCTGGTGACAAAGCCTGCCTGCAGGATTCCTGGTACAGAGCGGAACGTAAAAGCAGAAGAATACTTTGTGAGGCTATAGGTTTCTTTAACATCACCGATACTGATGAGAAGAGCCTTCAATTTTTAGTTGAAACTCCGAGAAAGCTTTTAAAATGACTAGGAAAAGCAACAGATTGGATGGTCAGAACAAGAAAAAAAAGTGGAAATAAATTAGCACTTTTATTCTAGCTTTTTTACTGATGTATCCCTCTTTCCCTTTCTCCTTGCCTTTCTTTCTCATGCAGACCTGTGTGTACATAGTAAATTGGTCTCTTACAATAATTGATTTTGAAAATTAAGAACATATTTTAGGCATTTCCAAAGGACAGACACAGATGTGGGAGGTCTCTGCCTTCCCTTACCCTAGCAAGTTCAATCTCTGTTTGAGTTACTAAAAGACCTGTTCTAGTTATGGACGAATACAATTCTTAAGCCAAATGCTGACCTCCCAATATTTAAGATATTCAACTCATACCTACATATCTTCAAATATGCTTCTGAATGACTAGGTAGCTTTCGTTTCAATCCATGTGTTTTCTAAAGAACTAACCATGACATTGTGCTAGTTGGAATTTATTGTTCAACAGCTTGAGACTGTGGAATATGGTCTGTCAGACTTGCTGTTACTGTAGGCATTCCTGATGCATTATGTTGTTGTGCTATTTGATTTAAAGAGGTAACATATAGTCCTAATGAGAGATGTGTTTTTAAATAGTCACATTTAAATCCTGGGTGTATAATTTGACTTGTTAGCAAGAAGTATTAAATAAGATTTACTTGTTTAATTAATAAAAGCTGAAGCATCAATTCTATGGTGTTTTTTCTTTCTCAGGCAAATAGTTCTCTCATACTCTACCTCCTGCACTAAAGCATTTACCTTTTATGCAAAATGGTCCATCGTAGGCAGTTTTGGAGCAGTCACAGGAGTAGCCATTGTATTTCTCGACACATTTACCTCCATTTGCACAGTACATCCCGTAGCTCGTGCAGTGGCCAGAGCAGCCAGGCTTCACCCCTGGCGTGACTTTTGCTCTCTCTTCCAGGTCCAGCGTCACACCGTTCATCCTTAATGAACGAATGCAGCCTAGGAATCCTCGCTGGCCTCCTGCAGCACCTGAGAGGGAGTGTAAAACTGTGAGACAACACTGAACAGATTTTATTGTTGCTTTATATGAAATATCCTGCTAAGCTTGTGACAACAGCTGGAAATGGTAACTTCTTTAAAACAAGGAATTACCTTGTCCAAATGACAGTACAATCAATGAAACCTAACCTTTTGATACCATACCATAAGTAAGCATAAAAGGTAGATGTTTTTAGCAATTTGTTTTACACTGAAGTAGACATTTGAGATTCTAGCCCTACACTGTAAGATTTCACTTAATTTCAACATCAAGGTTTTTAGAGATAATGGTGGAAGAAAAGGGCTTGGCTGGATTCCTAAGGTATAGCCTTTCTTTCCATAATTAGTGATAACGGATGTTAATAATAATAACGCCATGATATGCTTTGCAGTGTTACATTTTTGAAAGCCACGGTGGGCAAAGAAGAAAAAGATTCAAATCCCCACTCTCAGTTACCATAGGAAATACAGATGTTAATTTCCAAACAACATCAGGTACACTGGTTAGTTGTCTGAACATAGTGTAAAGAATGCAACACTCAAAAGCTACACTTGAAAGTCTGAGTGGAGATAGTTTCTCATAGCAGTTAACAAGAACTGTTCATTTTTATCCCTAGTAAGCACTTGCTGAAAAATATGATTTCAGCTAGGAAAGTCGTATCTGAAGCTGGATTAGAAACAACAACCATAAAAAGCAAACTAAAAAAATACAAGTAAATAACAGTGAGTAGCTGACATCCTTTCTGCTCATCCCTCCTCCCTTTGATTACTGCAGTGCCCCAGGTGCCAAAGAGTCCCTGAGGAGATCTGAATGCTCATCACCACAGAGCACAGAGCCTGATATTTACCTGAGTGGGAAGAGGACTAAATATGAACCAGAGACAGCCACTTCAAACAAGTGCTAGTGACTGGATGACTTGGACTGGAGGAGGCAAGGCTTGGTCTCTGCTGAGTGCACACGGCAGAAGGAATTCTGGCGTGATTCTATTCTATGTAAACTCATATACATTGCAGTGATGGAAAACCTTCTTCCTCTTTGGTGACTGCCCTAGCCCCTAGGACACAAAGTCATCATACCTAAGGCTCTCTTGCTGGCCCAAAGAACAGAATAATCTACAGATTTAGAATGTGGAACAGGAGGCACCGAAGTTCAGGTGTTCCTTTTGGGCACTCCAACTCAAATACATTCAAGGTCTGACTCTGGGTAAGGTTTAAATCTGTTCTCTGAGAGGTGTGTTCCAATCATGAAGTTATATGGCATACATATTTTTCAGAAAGAAAAAGAATCCATTGCAGATTTTGACATTCATGTTTTGGCAATATATGTACTACATATTTCAAGACATTGCTGGTGTTGCAGTCAATTCAAAACTAACAAATAAAATCATCATTATTAACAGTTCTCAAAGAACTCAGACTGGAAAAAACCCCAGCTCTTCCTGCTTTTGGTAAAAGGTTTGGCATTTCTTTTAAAAGGTTAAGGCTCTCTCTTTTGAACAAACTTCATCTTTCAGCTTATTTTGAAACTGCCTTTTATTGAGATCATAGCAGTAAAGGAGAATCTGAGCTTGTAAATAACACCTGCACATCTGGTGACACATTACACACAGTTTGAAGTGACACTGGGCTGATTACTAAGGCAATGAAGGCTTTAAACATCATTTTAATTCATTTGTATTGTTGGATGCTGACTAACATGGGGAAAAAAAAAGAGATTTTCTTTTCTTCTCCTTTTCCCTCTTCTCCTTTTATAGATATCTAGAGAGGTATGAAACTACTTCTTTACTCAACATTTCATGGAGTTCTGATTCCAGTTAATGACACTTGGCATGTCTGTGCTTCACAGCCCCGAGGCTAACAGTCAGAGAAATACAAGTGCTGCTGCAATAACCTGCCCAAAATGTAGTGGAAACCAGTAGCTCCAGAAAGCAGCTGGACTAACTTGGTTCCAGGGACTGCATTTGTGTAACATTGTGTGGTGCTTTCCTACAGCGAAAGGGCAAACAGCCCATGGGACTAAAGGCAAAAGACCACAGTGAGAGCTGTGAACACAAAAGGATGGACAATGATCAAATCTAAAGAGGCTGGAAGTACTGCCGAGGCTAGGATGGGCACTGCAGGCACATGCAGTCCTGGCAAGACCTCTGCAGAAGTTTTCACTTTCCTAGTGCATAAGTTTGCCTGGGAGAGGCACTTGGCAAAAAATAAGTTTGGCACTACAGCCTGCTGGAAGATACTTTCAGCCAGGAGCTGCAGGTGGAAAACGACAAAACCGACAAATTTCCAACGCACAATATCTTTCTCTTGGTTAATCATTGTATTTATGGACACGCTTGTCTTTTGTAATCACATCACCCCCCACCCAGCCCCCCACTTCTCCTCTGCCTGCTCTCATGGAAGTGCTCGAGGAGCACAGCTTCCCGCTTTAAACCGACTGCTGCTGGCCAGACTCGAGGCAAAGAATGTTCAGCATGTGAGAGCAAGGCCTGGCTACCCACTCCGCGTCTTACCAACATAGAGCTGGCTGTACAATTCCAGCCGCGTGTGTCCTTCTGTCGGCGCTTTCCGCACCTCCAGGGGCAACTGGTCCACCTGCAGGCTGGCCTGTTTGACATTCCTCTCGGCGTTGACCCGATGCCACTGGTCGTCATTGAGCTGGCTGGGAGACCTGACGACAATTTCCACTGGCCCGTTTCCGACGTCGAATGAAAAGGAGACCTCTGTAGCAGCTGAAATATCAAGGAAAAAGGTGTTTACAGTTTGTTTACAACCTTACATTGTAAACACATTCACTTACACTGCCTGAACAGAAAGGAGTCGTATTGAGTAGTAATACGTATTGCAAAGTCCTCTGTCTGAGCTTATAAGCACATTCAGTTCCTTCTAACTTGAGAAGGAGTTAGACTTTTAGAAGGAAACATCAACAGACGCTAAACAATAATCTTGGATCTCTGCAGCTTTCCAGGTGGCTTTTTTTTTTTCCCCCATGGGATAAGCATTTTGATAAAAAAATGGCACAGAAGTCTAATTTCTTTTAAAATTATTTTGAGAGGCAATTCATTTTTGCAGTGATCTAGTAATGCTGTGGTTATGACCTATGTAAGTTTTTATGGCTGAAAAAGAAGTGAATTCTTAGTAAGCATTAAAGTGCTCTGTTTATGGTGGATGATTGAAATCATGTTCAGAAATTTTGAAAATGTCCTTTAGGCCCTATTAAACACTCCTTTGGGTCATCCTTGGCAAATATATACTTGATACTTATTATTAAATGGTGAATGTGATTAATAATATATAAAATATTTTGGAATAAAGAAATATAATTTTGACTTCTTAATTTATATAACTTTGGGGCTGAAAATTATATTCTGATGGTAAATCATCAGATGAAAGTGTTAACAGACAATGGATTATCCATGATAGCATTCACAAAGGAGGATACCAGACAGAAGTAAAAACAATCCAGAGTTCCCTTTAATTTGTTTTTCTTACATATAAAATAAAAAAGCCAGAGCTCCCTCTGAAAAATCTCAGATGCCCAATTATGATCTCAGTGTTCCAGTACAGCTGTGGTCTCTTGTTTGGTTGAATTAATAAAACACTATTATAAAAATCTTACTCAGTAAAACTATTAAATTGTGGCAGAAGCATCACTCCATAGTCATTACTACTAACAATACCGATAAATAGTGGGAAATATTTTTGTACACGACCTAATAGATTTTCATAAGGTTATGTCAGACTTAATTGACAGCATTTTTATGAAACTGAAAGGATAGGGATAAACTTTTTACAGAGAATGTTCTTTCAAACAGCATTTATTATATAATTGATTTTTTTTTTCAAAATTGTCTACTTCTAAAAGAAAAAAATAAAAGCTCTTGTACTTTCTGTTCTCTGCTGAATAAAATAATTTAATTTCTTGAATGAACTGCCTTTCTTAAGCCATTTAGTCTGTTTGGCCTTTTGCACTTTACAAAGAACAAAATTTGTATGAGCTAATGCTTGCTGCTAAAGAAATAAAGATGTTTCATTTTAATGATGTTTTGCAACTTCAGCAGTTCTGCCAATAAACTCAGGCAAATTAGGAATTAGAGTAAAACCTATCCAACACTTAAACTGTATGTTGTGTCCAAATCTATTTTCAAGGGTGTGTGTATAATTCTCCTTTACATTTTGCTTTGAAGAACTGCCTCAGATCTCTTCACTGTCAGGCTTGCATTGCTTCCCAAAAGCTGTCTATCTACAAGACTGTAAAATGAAAATCCCTTAACAGACTTTTGCTCTTATTCTGAGGCAGTTGGTGACATTGTTAACATTACGCATGGGTAACTTGACTGTTACTGAATCCAGGATTTTTGAAAACCTCTAGAAGAATGTTTCTTTGTTTGCAAACTCTTGGTCTTCTGGATGAAAGCATCTCTATTTTTTTAAAGGAAGGTTATACTTCTTTTAAAAGGGAAAGTGTAGAGAAGAGGCAAATAGAGATATTTCAAGCAGAAGTTCTGCACTTGCATAGTCCAACTTTATGCATGGTTTTAAGCTGAAATTTGTATCACAGCCTAAAAGACAAATAATTAAATTTGTACTTATTGAAGTACATTATTCACTTTGAAATGAGTACCATTTGTATAATTTAATATTATATTTTTATGCTTAATCTTATAGTTAGTGAAAGAAAAGCATTTCAGAAAAATCATGAAAGGTCATTTTCAGTGCATGTACCTTGCTGATGTGCTTGAAAGTTAGAGAAGATAACACAGCATCTATGGACTTTCCCGATCCTTCCCTAAACAACCTAAAAACATGATTCTCATACCCAAAGGTAGGAAACTTATTTGGTAGACTGATGGACATGGAAGAAACATGAAACATGATAATGAAAAAAACTTTACAGATGGGCAGAGGCTTCATGACAGGATGTCTCACGTGGAAGTTATGTTGCTGGTTCTGACTCTTCATTCTTGGTTCTATTTTCAGTCTATGGAATAAGAGTGTTTTCCAGCCAGGGACATCTCTAGGTAAAATGACAGGCACTTGTACCTTAATAGAAATGGATGTATATCTGACCAGAGGCATGTTAGTCAGAAAATGAAGGCAAAAGAAATTGTACCACTGCCCAAAATGATACAGGTGACCTGGTGACAACTGACAGGGAGAGGGCTGAGGTACCCAGCTTTTTCTTGTCTCAGCTTTCACTGGCAATTGCTCTTCCCACATCTTTTGAGACCCTGAATCTCAAGGCAGGGACTGAGGGAATAAAGAGTTCAAGGTCAGGTTGGACAGGACTTTGAGAACACCATGCAGCCCCTACTCCTCCTTTTTTCCTCTACCCTAGCTTTACTGCTGAGCAAGGTGTTGTCCCTTTGGTCAACAAGCAACTGTCTTGGTTGTGTCCCTTTCCAATGTCTCAGCCTCCTGATGAGAGAGGCAAACCTTTGACGCTGTGGAGCACTGCTCAGCTACAGCCAAAACACTGGTGTGGTATCAATGCTGCTTTAGGCACAAATCCAAAACACACCACCATATGGACTGCTGTGGAGAAAACTGACTCCATCCCAGTCAGAGCCAGTACAACATCAAATTCGTTGTGAAGTTCAGCTCAGCTACTGTGCCGAAGAATAGCAATTATTTAGCTTCTTTTCCTAAGTACGTTGTACTTTTCAACTTCCCTATGTCTACACATACAACCCCCTTTGACTCAAATACATTGTTGGTTGACGTGACAGTGGTATTATTCTGTCAAATGTTTGAAGGGGATGATTAAAATATATCTAACATACATGTACATATGTGACTATTTATCCAAAGTGACCAACTGGACCAAGACAAGATTTTTTTTTTTTTTTTTCGAAAGATGCAGAAAATGAGCTGTACAGGTCCCAGAGATTTATACTGCTCAGTCACTTTGTAGCTGATAAAGTGAGTTTTGCTAATGATAATTTTATTTTCTATTCTATCAAATACAGTAAAACTCAAGCCAGTCTTTCTAAGAAGTAAGAACAAGGATCAGACTTTGAACATATGTCTGAAATAGCTAAATTATCATATTGAAAATAAAAATAAATGTGGGTTCTAAGTTATTTAGTCAATACAAGGTTTTGTGATGGAAATTTCATAATATTGAATGAAGGTGAATTTTTTATGGGCTCCTGCTACATATATTCACTCAATAAGCTGAGGTTTGTGGCTTAGTTTTACCCTTTCTGTGCCTTGTGCAATTACATATAATTAAATCTGAACACGTTCCTTTTATTGATTCAATTTTCTAAGGTCTCAGGTCATGGTCAGCCATCTGTTCAGAACACAGAAGAGCAACTTTGGCAAAAAAAATGCCCTTCTCATCCTTTGTTCTGTGTTCTTGTTTTTTAGCTCTATTCAGATCCCGTCTTAAATCTATGAGGTATTTGCCCATATATGCCCATAAAAAGGAAGGGATACAATTGAGCCACTGTGCAGGATGAGCTGGCAAGGCTGGGTGAGTGGCATAACAAGAACCTATGAAGTTCAAAGAAGACAAATATAGGTGCTTGCACCTGGGAAATTATAATCCAGGACTGCAGCACAGACTGTAATTTTCCCAGCTGGGGAGCAGCTCTGTGGCAAGGGACCTGGGGTTCCTGGTGGACAACTAGCTCAGTATGAGTGAGCAGTGTCATGTAGCAGAGAAAAAGCAAATAGGATGCTTGCTAACATCAACAAGGACACCACCAGCAGAGATAGAGAAGTTATTTTCCCACTCTTCTCAGTGCTTGCCAGGCCACACATGGATGTACGATGTCCAGTTTCAATCCTCACTAGACAAGAAAGATGTAGACAGGCTGGAGAGTGTCCAGAGAAGGTCTACAAAGATGATCAAAGGACCAGGAAGCCTATCATATGAGGAAAGGCTGAGAGAACTGGTTTTGTTCAGCCTTGAGAAAGGAGGCTTGGGGGACACCTCTCGAGACTATGTTCCAGTATTTAAAGGGTGGCTACAAAAAGGTGGGGATGTTCTTTTTACAAGAAGTCATATGGAAAAGATGAAGCCTAATGGCTAGAAGTTACTCCCAGGGATATTATGATTGCACACGAGAAGAAAACTTTTCAAAATGAGAAGAATCAGCCACTTGGATAATCTCCCCAGAGAAGTGGTAAATTCCTCAACAGTTGGACACTTTTAAGATTCAGCTGGATTGTGAGCTGGGACATCTTGTCTAGACTGTGCTTTTGTCAAGAAAATTGGACCAAATGATTCTTGAGGTCCTTTCTAACCTGGTATTCTACGATTCTGTGATTCTATGACTGCACTGTCTGTAGGATTCCACGTTTCTTGAATACTTCATTTCAAGGCTTTCTAGTAGATTTATTTTAGTTACACACAAGTTCTGAGGGTCAACTGCAAGGGAAGTAGCATGCACTGCTTTGTCCTTTGCCATGCAAAATGTCAGGTTAAATGGGCTGATAGACTTTTCTGGTATTCAAGACCTGTGACCAGCTTGATCTCCCATTTTCCTTGAACTTTTTGTATTTCAAGTATCTTTTCCCCCTGCTATTTTCTAGTTTGATCTTTGCTGATACATTTCAGGCTAGGATCTCTAGTTATAATGAAGTTGGCAGCAAAGAAAGAGATGTTGATGGATGGTTGGATTCTCACAAAATGCTAAGCAGTAGGTGGAAGCTTTCAAGACACATAAACTGTGAAAAAAAAAGGAAGAGGGATTATAACCCTCCTAATAGACAATTTTTTTAT